TCGCATGGCCACAACAAACCCAGTAGCTCCACAGAGACCTTTCTCCTCCACCCCTGAGCTCCATCCAGGCAGACATATTGCCGGCTCGGGTCAGCAGGATTTCAATCCCTCAGTTGCATTACCCAGAGTGTGCAGCGGTAAACTTGATTATGAGAGTCTTCGGCTACATCCTTGCATGTGGATGTGGCATCAGATGTCGTCCATGCATGGCAATCGCGTTGAAGCATCTCGGCTGTCCAGCAGTCTAGCAGTCGTTGGCTAGACTGGATCTTCCCCTGGAGCAGGTGCCTCAGTCACAGCCTTTGAAGCTCACAACAGGCTTTAAGAGCCTGTTGGTGCTGAGGCAGCTGCTTTAGTAGCGAGGGTTGACGAGATGGCGGATGGCGAGAAGCTGAAGCTCAAGTCATCCCAGGGCGAGATTTTCGAGGTCGATCCTGAGGCTGACCTTGGGTGACCAGGTAGTGAATCAACATGTAGGGCTCACAGGTGTTGCTTTCTGTTCCTGGTAGGTTGCTACCATGTCGACTCTGATCAAAAACATGGTCGAGGATATGGCCTGCAGCATGATCTAAGAGGGCAGTGGCATGGCACGGCTGACAGACTGTTGGTTGGCATACGCATGATGCGTTTGCAGGACAGTGGCACAGATGAAGAAATTCCTTTGCCAAATGTAAAAACGGCGATTCTGAGCAAGGCCTGATCCTTTGTGTAAAGCCGCAAAAAAAAGCCACCTGCAAGGTTCTCAACCATGATCTGCCGGATGTAAATGAGGGTACGGCCTGCATCTCCAGACAGGTTATTGACTATTGCAAGTACCACAAGGACAACCCGCCCGAAGAGATCCAAAAGCCGCTGAAGAGCACCAACCTAGTTGAGTGCGGCGTCTCGGAGTGGGACAGCGAATACGTGAACATCGAGCAGGAGGCAGCAGGACCCGCACAAACTTTGTGAATCCAGAGAATCAGATTTTTGTTTGCCCAAGAGCATGTTTTCCCACGAGGTCCTGTTTGAGTTGATCCTGGCAGCCAACTACCTTGACATCAAGAGCCTCCTGGACCTCACTTGCGCTAAGGTTGCCTCTATGATCAAGGGCAAGAACACCGAAGAGATTCGCCCCTCGCCTGCAGCAATCGGATGAATCCTTTGAGGATATGGGCTTGCTGTTGTACCTGTAGCTGGTCCCCTGTATGAGGCAAGCAGTTCAACATCGTGAACGACTTCACCCCCGAGGAGGAGGCGCAGGTTGGGAACCCGTGCAGCTCAAGTGGCCAACATTTCAGATCAGCATACAGAAAGCAGGTTCGTGAAGAGAACCGCTGGTGTGAGGATGCTTAGTAGGGCCAGCTTGACATCCGAGCGCTTTCAGGATGCCTGTCAAGTCGGTCAAGCAAGTTGCACGGAAGCATGCTTTACTTTAGTAGTAATTGTGCATTTGATCAGAGCACAATGCCAAGCAGGCAAAGACTTGTGCTTCTGAATTTGATCTCACCCTGGCTCAAGCTTCATTGATGCTCTGTCATCATATTATCAAGGGACAGCTCGCACAGTCACAGGCGGAGCTTTCTTATTTGGAAAACAGTACCAGTTCGGGAAAACCGATGTCCTGAGAGAGTTGGCAAACATGGGAGCGCTCGCATGCTCGCATGCAGCGGCAGAACAAAAACAGCGTCAACATGCAGCTTGCAAAACAGACGTAGCTGCTGTAGTTGTCCAGCGGCAGACTTCGCTTTCTTCTTCTTGGGGTGATACTCCAGGCCTCCTGGCAGTTGTTTTGGCTACTAGGTCTGCTGCACGTTGCAAGATTCACTTCTATTATGATGTTGTCTTTCAGGTGCATGTCAGGGCCATGGGGGCTCCTCCTGCGCAGCTGGCGCTGCTCCGTGAGGCTGTGTCCCAGTCATTGATGGATTAAGTCTGGCGACACATGTGGCACCTTGCAGGTTGTGGGGGCCGGGCCAGCTGATGATGCCTTGGCATCAGCATGGCGGCGGTCAGGCACAAAACGTCAGAGTGCGTTTGCAGGGCACATCTTCTGACAGCGCTTTGCTGCCATGGTCTGGCACGCATCAGGCGGGGATCTAGCCGCAGCTGTGAACCTGCTATTGGATGCACCGCAAGCAAAATCGGTGCCGGCATCCAAGACAATTGAAATTGAGCTCCTTGCTAGACCAAGATGAGCATGCCTTTGCTGTTGTTTTTCGATGCTATACAAGGGTTGAGGCGGACCATGAGATGCTTGATTAAGCTGGCTTTGGTGTCAAAGGCTAGATGACTCAGATGGCGAAGACAACGTGCTATCGAAACCGGTTGACACTGAGCTGCAAGTTGCAAGTTTCCATGCTTCCAATCTCTGCACGCAGGCAGCGGGCACTTTTGCTGTCCGAAGCTTAGGCGCAAACGCCATCAGCACCGGCCACGCAAGCTCCTGTCGTGCAGACACCGGCCACTTCGCAAGCACCTGCGCAAGGGCCACCAGCCCCACAAGCGCCGTCAGCTGGCGGCAGCGCTAGCGGCAGCAAAGGCGGCTTCTTAGGCCTGATGCAGGCGAAGCAGGAATCTAGCGAACATCCGCCAAAGAAACGGCGGACCTCCGGGCCTCGAGCGCAGGAAGCAGCAACTAAGCCTGCTCAGGCGCCACGAGGCCGCACCTGCAACATTGAGTGGTCTATGGCTTTGGGCAGCTTCCACTTCATGGCCTGGAGCACAATCCGCCTTGGTGCTGACCAGCAGTTTCAAGCCGAGGATGGCAGTTTCGGGCCCTTGCTGCGGCAAGGGCGACGCCTAGAACTTAGGTGGGCGGTCGAAGCGAAGAAATCCCGTGCTCGTCCAGGCACAGCTGCTTCCCAGGTAGGTGCGGAAACAGGCACCATACGCTTTGATGCTGGTGGTCAAGAAGTTGGGCGTTTCCCAGCTGATGCCAACAAAACATTGGTGCCGCTCCTTGCGCGGCGGCTGATTGATGTTGAAGCAGTGGTCGGGAGGGATCCACCCCGTGTTCTAACCTTGGGCACTGACCTGCCCGTTGTGGTGAGGGTGTCTCTGCGATCTGTGGCTTTGCGGACTCCTGGACAAATAGATGCCAAGCCTGCAATTCCAGAAGCAGACGGCGGCAAGAACAAGTCCAAGGGCCAGAACCAGAAAAATGCCGCGAGCTTTGCTAATTGCATTTTTGGTAGTCCTGTTTTCAGCCTCTGCATTGCTTGGCGTGGTGCGACACAGAATCCAGATTTGCACAAAGGTGCACAAAGAAGAGGCTGACAAAGAAATTCAGCGCACGTCAACGGGCATGCTGCTGGAGAAGCGCCGGGCTCGGAGGAAGGCAAACCAGGCTCGCAGGTATGGCAAGCTGCAAGTTCTTGGAGGGCCTGAGGGGATGTAGTCGTGGACGGGAGCTGACAATGAGAAGACCTAGACTTAGGTTGAATCTGCCTTGTCGCAGACGCGCTGCCCTAGAGGGCGATGTTGTTGCCAACACTGCGGAAGAGCTCCCGGCCAAAGCAGAAGGCTTTTGGGGTACCCAGGAGTTGATTGAACCGTGACTGACGGAGTTGGATCTTGTCCAGGAGCTGGTGTGGCAGATGACGAGCCAGAGGCAGAGGAGGAGGAAATGCAAGGTGCCCAGTGAAAATCTCTGGGTGTGAACTCTGCGAGAGGAATTGCAGTCGTCTATTGCCTTCCAGACGGATCCAAAAGATCTGAAGTAAGGTCTAAGGTGGCAGCAGCCCAGCTGGGGAGAAGCCGTGCTCCCAGACCTTCCTCAGCAGGAACGCCTGCTTCACATGCTTAGCCATGTCAAGCTGTGCGAAGGGGAAAACACACGGTGTATTTTGATGGTTTTGATGGAGCACATCTATATATATATATAAACAGTCGAATCAAAGCTGAGCATAATCCTGTGCAGAGGAGCCGCGCGTACCTTGCGTGTAAAGCTTTGCTGTGGGGCCGGAGGGTCAACTTGAGCAAGCGAAATCTTGCCTGGGGTCATTGCTTGAAGAAGAGTCTGAAATGCAAGCCGGCTTGATATGAGTTGTGGCTGCAGCAGCAGAGTTTTCTGGTGACCCTTCATTGCCGAGGTGATCAGCTGGAACGTCATGATCTTCCAGGGATTGTGCTGCCCCAAGGAATCTTCCAGACCAGGCTGGAATTTTCCTGTCGAGGTCTTGGGGTAGGGGGCGGGGTAGGGCAAGTCTTAGATTCTTAGACTACGGGAGGCTGAGACCTTATCAGGCTCAGGCAGTGCCAGGACCCAAGCGCATCAAGACGGCTTTTTGTATGAGATGCCACGTGGCAATACTGCCACATCAAGGTATTGGATGTGGCAGAGGGAGAATCCGACATCCTCTTTGCCTGGGGCTTGAGCAGCCCCAGAAACCAGTGGTCCAGCTTGCTTCTCTGCTTCTGTTTAAGGCCGTCAAGCTTCAAGAACGCCGACCCACACGGCGATGAGAAGGCCGCGTTGCTGGATAGCCCTGGGTTCGTGCGGTAGCTTTCCTTGCCTTCTCTCAGAAGGCATCGAATGCATAGCTTTCAAGGTTGTGGCTTGTGACAGGTGTTTGTGAAGAATCAACCTGCCCGCAGTTAAGTTTCGCATAGCAACTCAACATTCGACATAACTGTTCTAAAGTCACCCAAGCAAATTTCGTGCTGCGGTTTGCGCAGGCAGATGAGGCAACTTCCAGTCCCAACGCGTGCGGGACCTGAGACTGCATGATGTTGATCTGCAAACTAATTAACACGTGCACAAGCTGCACCAATGACATGAGTGTGTGCAACTCGACCTGAGGTCACAGGCCACGAAGGAGCCAAATGCCCAGCTTCATGGCAGGGTCAGACTGACCCAGCTGCCGCAAAAATTCGAGGAGTGTGGCTTTTTCAATTTCTGAGGCTCCCGCATGAACGGCAACTGCATCCAATGTGGGTCGCATGCCGAGTCTTTGAGTGTGCGTGCCTGCAGGGGTGTGATAGCGAGAGCCTTTTCAGGATGAATACGAGCTGCCGGAAGAAACAGGGCCACTGCCAGGAGGCATTGCCGGCAAGAGGGCCTGGGGATGCTCATGCACGATTTTTTGCATCGCATTTCACACGGACCTCAAAGGAATTGACATGAAGCTTGCTGATGTCGGCTCTCTTCTCTTTTGCAAGGCAGGGAGTCGGCGCGCTACCTGTACTATCATCGCACAACTGGTGTTTCTTACCCAGCATGTCAAGAGCCATCTCGCAAGCAGTTTGAGGAAGCGGATGTGGCTGCTTGAGGCCTTGTCGCTTGACTTTCCTGATGCTGCTCTCGCGCATGGGGCCCAGGCTTTCAGCAAGTAGCAATTACCCGCCTCAGCTGACAAGGAGTTCAGTGTCAGCAAGTGGACATGGGTGGGAATACTGGCCACTAGCAAGCAACAACTGAGCAAACAGGGTGGGGACATTGGGCAATCATGACTTGCGGTACAGTTTGGAACAAGGCGTGGCAAAAATGGCATGTCTCATTTCAAGGACTTCCCCTGCATTAGGGCATGATCTAGGGGCTGCTCGGAAGGACAATGCGCAGACTATTCCAGACGAATGTAATTCAATGTCATGGCGTCATCAGAAGTAGGCCACGTATATGGCAAGTGGCATGCTGCTGTTTGTCATGTCCTGCCCTCTTCGCTGGAAGCGGGGTGAGTGGTGTAAACCATCAAAAGCCAAGCATGAGTGAGAGCAGAAAAAAGGAATTTTCGATTACCACGCTCTCCTTCTCAAACTCAGTTTTTCTTTGTTTGCAAGCACTCGGCATCTTAAGGCATTGCCGTGGTGGCATATTGGCTGATGACATGGGTCTGGGCAAGACAGCACGAAACTTATACCGAAATGCCGAGCTGACATGAATGTGGTGTTTGCACAAAGCTCTCAAGCAGTGTCACCTTTAGGTTATGTGCCTTGCACTCACTGCGCTGGACTACGGCCCTTCCAGCCTGCCCACTGCAGGGCCCCCAAAACATTGCGTTTTTTGAAAGGCCACACCTAGACTAACTGGACAGGCGCGGAAGGCTGCACCGGAGCTTCGTGCCCTGGAGGACAAGTGCCCCCAACCGTCAGTAGATAAGCGAATTGAAGCAATGCGACAAGTCTGGCTTTAGGTAGAGCAAGATAGCTGAGACAGGGTGAAGGGCGCTTAAGCCAGAAGCTGCAGGCAGTTCGCAGCTTCACGATGTTTGGAAGAGCACCTACATCACTGCATAGCAACCGAGGGGTTTTCCCTGCAATGGAATGGGACTCGCTCAGCGTGCTGTGAGGAAGCCGACGTATCGTCGAAGCAGAAGGGTGGCGTTTTCCAGTGGACTGCTCAGGAGCACCCAACTATAGGACACTCCCCCTCGTTTCGCACTCCGCTCCCCGTGTCACGAGCTTGTCCGCAACCGCCTAGCCTAGCTGTATCTACAATCTGCAGTTTGACCTAAGGCAACCCGATGACGGCAAAGTCGGTGGTGTTCTCGTTGCCGGTGTCTGAGTGCTTCTTGCCTTGTCATTCCATCAGACATCGTGGGAGAGTGTTTTAAAGAAGGGGATCTGACAGGTGGCGCCCTTGTCGCTGATCCGTCAGTGGCACTCAGAGGCAGCTTGGGACACCTGCGACAGCCAACAATAGGTGAGTCTGTATTGAGCAGGCTCAGAAGCACTTCCTTGCCTCGGCCGTTCCACTGCTCCACGAATTCCATGGCTCAGGCGCCTGGACGAACAGTCGAATGGCATGCATTCTGCACTCAGCCGCTTCCGCCGGCACAATGTTTAGACAAAGCACAGGCAGGACTATATCTCTCGATCAGTTGCAGTCCACGGGAGCTGCTCTCCTAGTTTTATCAGCTGGTGGCTTTTTCTGGCTGCCTTCCGTCTGCGTCAGCATACAAAGCTTCTGTCTCTTAGATCGTGCTCACGACCTACAACACGCCGGGAGCTAATGGATGCCGGAAGAGGTAAGGAAGAAACTAGCTACACTGGAAGCTGATGAGCGCCCATTAATGTGCAGTGCGTGCAATCTGAATGCAGCGTAAATCCATGGTTTCTGGCTTGGGGCATCTCAAACTTGAGGGCAAGTCAGGTTGGCTTCCCAACCAGAGGATTCGCTGCTCTTCCAAGTCTACTGGAGGAGCTGGCTAGACTATCGCTGTGACTCATCCAGACAGTTCGTCGTTGAGCCTTGTTTTTAGCCATGGTGAGAGAAAGCTGCCAGGAGAATCATCCTTGATGAGGCACCTGGTTGGTTCTAGCGGCCACCAGCGTCGGGTGGTTGGACATTGGAGTTCATGTCATGACATCATAGCCGAGCAGCTTGGCCAGGCCCACAGCATCAAGAACCGCTGCAGCAGGCCTGACATGGCCCAGACGCTCTCTCTCTCTCTCTCTCTCTCTCTCTCTCTCGCCCAAAACTGAACCCTGAGTCCTATGGGCTTTCCCAAAATGCCAAATGAAATGGAAACTGGGACTATGTAGGATTGAGGCAGCAAGGAGCACACTCCCAGGCAAGCGCAGGCGGCCTTTCGACTGCGCGGCTTTTGCAGATGGTGGTGATCCTAGCTGGCCAGCCAATTGTCCACAGTCCTTGACCAGATTTCTGCTTATGCGGCGAGGTGTGTGACTGGAACGCTCGACGCTTATAGCACCGAGACAGGGGATGGATTGACATTAGCCGAGCCGTCATGCAGTACCCAGGATCTGTTTGCTACAGCCACGTCATGAGACTTCCAAAGTCATGCCCAGCAAAGGAGGCTGTTCTGGTCCTTTGTTGCGAGGCCTTTGCAGAACAGCGTGGATGAGCTGTACTCGACAATCCGCTTCTTGCGTCGTGTGCTCATCCGGACATTGCAGGAAGATGCTGACTTTTTTTGGCCTCCTGACCCTTGCACTTTTTGCAGCCCCTTTGATAGCCTTAACGGATTGGCATGAGTTAGGATTGCACCATATTTCACCCTGGCGCCAAGGCGTTGAGCCTTGGTGTGCCTGGCCTTGCTGGCGCAAAGCTGTTGCAGCGGACTCAAACCGTTTGTTGGAATCAAGCTGGCTTGGCTGAGTTCCGAGAACATGGCATCGCAGGACTTCTCAAATCTGTGCAGCTTGAACTAAGGCCATGCCGCTGGAGCGTGGTGTGGGCCTCGTGTGTGGAGCCGCGATTGCAGCCAGAAAGTCCATGCGACCCGGCATTTTAGGACGCCATGGCGACTCGGATGCCATGACACAGGCGTTAGACACTGCTCGGCGCATCGTTCGATGCTGAGCCTTTGTTGTATTGTTTTGTCTTGCAGAAGTCTTACAGATTGGGGATGTGCTTCATGATTTCGTTGATTGCTCAGTGAGGTGACGCCTTTGCTGCTTCGGCGGACGAAGTCCACAGCAAACGGCTTGGCAGATTTTAGATCATTGAAGCAGTCACGTTGGTGAGATTAGGTCTTCAGAAAGATGAGTACGAAGGTGGTGATGATGATGATGATGATGATGGTGCTTAAAAATCCTTTTTGTCAGAGTCGGCTGTTTCTGATCGTGAAGCCTTGTCATTCTCAGCAAAGCTGGGCTCAAAGCAGCTTCTGACTGTCAGCCACGCGAAGCCAGTCATGGCCGACGCGCTTGTGCGCGAGCAGATCAGCAACTTTGCTTTTCATCGACTGGCCCATCCTGCAGGTTTTGAGAGGGGAGGACCCCCCAGCCTGTAATAGCGTAATAGTGGTATAACAGGAATATAAGAAGACCCTAGTATAATCCTTACTAATCTTTATTATCCCTTGTAAACACTATTGCTGGGTGGAGGGTCCACGTAACCCATACTGCAAGACATATGTTTGCCAAGAGGGAATCCATGTGGTCCAGCAAGCTTCTGCAAGACTCGTCGGCAGCATAAGGGCAGTTGACCAGTAGCTATGAAGCCCTGCCCGGCAATTGTAGCCATGATACCTCACCAATTCTGAGGCGAGTTCTATGAGACGTTCAAGCTTTTCGATGAAGACAAGGATGACAAGCTGTCCTTGAAGGACGAGGGTTGGCCGAATAAGAAAGCGCTGTTAAAGTATAAGTATGTGGCCGAGCATTAGCCAGCCTCTCTGCCCGCTTGCAGGAGTTCGGAACTTTGCTGAGTGCCTCATCTGATTGATTCTGCTTCCGTTTGCCTGCCAGCAGCGGGTAGCCTTCGCAGCACAGGTTCCCTTGGCCAGAACCCGACTGAACAAGAGCTTCAAGACTGGATTGGTGGAGATGGGGAGCATGAGCTTCTTGGCGATGGCGCATGTTCAACTTCACCAGTGCAAAACATGTGCATCTCATGGCATTGGACAGGCTCATAGTGACATGTAGAGCAAGCCCTGCTGGCTGAGCACGCGAATCGACTTCCACACCTTCCTGTCCTTGATGTCACGGAAGCTCAAGGACCGAAGTCTTGGTGCATCTTGGTGTGCATCCTGCCTGCAAACACTCCTCACAATGCTCCAACTTCAAGGAGACAGACACAGAAGAGGAGCTCATTGAGGCCTTTAAGGCGAGCTGCAATATCACGAGAGTTGCGAGGTAGGAGGATGCTCTTCTGAGTTGAGGTGCGGATTTAGAGAGATGGCCCATGATGCTGTGACAGGTGTTTGACCGTGATCGAGATGGCTTCATTTCTGCCAGCGAGTTGCGAACTTCGATGATGCCATTGCCTGAGCGTGATCCCATTGGCTGTAGCAGCATTGTGTAGCAAGCGGGCATCAAGGAAGGCCTCTCATTTCCAAGGAACCTGGGGGAAAAGCTCAATGATACAGAGGCCCGAGGACATGTTGGTAAACTGCGTATTGTGTGCCAACTGAACGGGTCGCGCAGCTCAGTTAGTAAGAGCCTTTTGTAAAGGTGGATGAGATGATCCGCGAAGCTGATCTTGATGGAGATGGGCTCATCAACTACGATGAGTTCGTAAGGATGATGATGGCAAGCGGCCCGTCTGCAGAACTGGCTAGGATGGCGGGGGGAGTTCCGAAAGGCTTTTGCCAAGCCTTCTCGTAGCAAGATAGATGACCGGTGCGTCACACAATCTTAACACAAATCAATTACTGACTCTGTTCTGATTGAGACGATTGGGGGGGTGGGACTAGGGGCGGGTCCAGAATTTCCACTTTTTCCACAAAGCTTCGCATTCGCTGAGGCAAGTGAGATGGTAGCTTTGAAGCTAAATTCGGTTTGAGGTGGTGCAGTGAGGCGAAGCTTCGCACCATTTCATGCACATTCGAGCTGCAGGTAATTCGGGGACGAGCGCATATGCTCGGGATGTTGGGGGCTTGCGGCTAGCGGGGCGCGCTGATTGCCCCGCAGCTTTGTGAAGCACGCTGGGATTGCGTTAACTTAGCCTAGAGGCAAGATAAGACTGGTGAACCCTGCGCTGTCTCACATTCGGAAATTTACCCTCTACCTGCAGGAGCTAATTTTCTGATGCAGCTACAGGCATGTTCAGCCGTTCGCGTCAAGAGCGTGACGGAAGAGTTGCCCCGGCTGCAGTGGTGCCTGCGCCATTAGCGCAGTCCCACAGCAAGACCTTGCTTGCCATCATGAAATTTCAGTGTAAGCTTTGTTTGACGTCTCTTCTGCTTTGGCCTTTGCTCTCCCGCATTAACTTAAAGCTTAAAGCTGCATTTGGTGCAGGAGCCGCTTTGTGGCACCGCAAGGTCTATGTAATTGCAAGATTCAGTGCGGCCAAAGCTTCTTCTCAGCCCTCATAGGGGCACGGCAAGCAAAATTGGTTTGCTCGTTTCACCCACAACCTGACGTTTGCATTTCAAGCAGCCTGCGGCAAAGAAGGTTGAATAACAGGTCATCAGCTTGCAGGGATTCTGGGCGACGCTGCTTGAGAGAGCAGCAAATGTGGCACCGTTTCGCCTAGTGATTGCTGGTGGGAGGTGCCTTGAAAAGAGCGCTTGCGACAAGCCCTGGATTTGATGCAGCCATGGGACTGGATGCTTCGATGTTTCAGCCCAGGTGAACCCAAAGACTGGAGAGCCGCTCCTGCAGCTGCCAAAGAAACACGTCCATGTGCTCCAGCCACCCAGATGTAGACTGTACGCCCCTCGTGCTTGCCTCCAGGTACGGCATTTGGATCTTTCACCTGCCGAAAGGGATTTCTACGACACGCTGTGGTGCAAGGCAAAGACAGAGCCCCACCCTCAGGGCCAAGCGCTTCCGCATCTCTCTGGCTTCTCTTCTCATTTTGCAGCAGGTTGACAGTCTCCAGAGAAACATGCGGCTCAGGTTTGACACTTTCGTCGAGAAGGGAGAAGTGCTTTCGCACTCTGGCTGCATGAAGCAACCTGCGCTGACACAGAGGGTTGACTTGGGATGGCCAGGAACGTGAGTTTGTAACATTCTGCAAAACAGAGGAAGTACACCCACATTCTTCACTTGATCGGCAAGTTGCGACAGGCGGGGATGGGCAGGTTTGTTGCCTGTTTGCCGTGGTTTTCGTCCCGGCCAACAAAACTTAGCAGGAGCTACCTGACAATCCCTAGCCGTCAGTTTTGGAATTGAGAGTTTCGCCTGCAGCGAAAGGCTCTCTGCCACCCTTTCCTTGTGTCTGCGGCTGAGCTTCCAGGGTTTGCTCCGGGGGAATGTCTAGGGGGAAACAGGTGCACTCAGCCTGTGGCCGCTTGGACTTGGACATGTAGGGTCCAATTTCAACTGCAGGTCCACACTCTCACTCAGTCCAGCTATGACTTCACGTCGCCTTGAACGGTTTGCAGTTGGTGGTGGTGTTGGCAAGCCCTAAGCAAAATGGCCGAAGCCTGCGCGACTTGCTCGACGCCAAAGATGGGAGGCATTTGGAGGTTTTCCTGGCCTCTTGAGCTGTTGCTGCGGCAGCTGCGACTACTTGGAATACTACGGGCGATGATGAGAAGAAAGTGGGCATCGCAAGTTAACAACAGTAACGTGCATTGAAGCTTTCTTGACTGATCTCTGCGCATCCTGGCAAGTCCAGGTTTGCAAGGGCAGGCAGCAAGGACGAGGACATGGAATCCCTGGAGAGGCCGGTTTTCCTTCGAGGTTGGTAGCAAAAGCAAAACCCATAGCCTGAAAAGGTCAAGCGCAAACATTGTGATTGCCTGGATGCCTACCCCATCATATAAGGGGGCGGATGGAATGAAGAAATGCATGTAGATAACGTCCACGAAGTGTCGAGACTTCCGCCACTCTTACAGAGATTTCTAGCACTGTACGCTACCAGAACCCACGCTGCTATGGCTGCAGCCGTAGAACACGCCAAAAGTCGAAAAGTAGAAGCAGTATTGCTCAGCATCAGATGATGCATAACACGAACGCGTCGTCACTGGCATGTGAACATCCGGGGAAGTTAGTTGAGACCTTTGGGCTCAGATTCGGATTCAAGCAGGGACTGCAAGAAGGTTTGCAGATGGGCTATGGGCTATGCGCACCAGCGTTCGTTTCTCATAAAGGCAGGCATCCGCAGCAGACAAAAAGGCTTAGGTAACATGTGACCATGAAGCTCTTGGCACCTCGCTTTCAGAATGCAGAGAGTAGAGCTCTCCGCTGGGTAAAAGCTTTGTCTTAAAGCTGTTGCGAGCACAATCCAGCCGATGTATCCCAGAGCTTCTGCGGCCAGGGCATTTGTTTGCGGGTTGGACATGCAAGCTTCACACAACTTGCTTCCTGCAAGACCATGAGAATTTCTGCACTCTGCATTGGTTATAAAGTCACGAAGCATGGCAAAGATGGCAGGAGATACCTCATGGAGGTCGGTGGCAACGATGTCTCCGATACTTACGTGGCATCGCTCTTGCAGGAGTGCTGGTCAGCTGGGGTCGATAAGTGTAAGTAAGAACATGATGGCAGCGCAGTGCGGATTATGCTTTCCATTGATGGCCTTTGCAGTCATACCCCTGCTTTTGCCTTCCACTGGTTCTTGAATTCTTAGGTTTGCATGCTGGACTTCTGTAGCAACAGAAGCGTTACATAAGGAGCGTTCGTTTTGCTTGGGCTTGCCGTAGCTGATCTGCAAAACCCTTCCGAATCCAATTCAGGAGATTCGCAATGGAGAGCATAGTGATTGTGCGATTTGTGCCGGCCTTTGGACTGCTCCAGAGCTTGAATTTAGATGTGGCCTTGCAGAGCTTCGGGCAAGGTTACGACACTCCACAAGACCCAACCTTAACGCTTTGCTCTGAGTCAAGGATCAGATTGTGGAGCCAGTGAAGCAGCTGTACTTTAACGTGTATGCAGCATTGACCAGCCACAGAAGCACCTCCAATATTCGCGGTAGGAAGTTGTCTCTGCAACGTGATGTGCAAGTGCAGTTGCTTGCCTCTCCTCCCTCTCCTTGAAAGCGGATGGCAGAGGCCGTGCGGCCACATCTTCTGTCGCGAGTGTTGCTACAAGATCATCAAGCAGCCGCTCGTCGTATCCGTTGCGTTTGTCAGTCCTGAGATGGTGCAGGGAGGGGTCAAGCGTGACAAGTTTCACATGCTTGCTCGCCCCGACTGATCAAGTGTTTGTCTCAGGTGCAACGGGGAATGCAGGAAGCCAAGCCAGTCTGCATGTAAAAGCTCATCTCCTCCATCGAGATAGCGGTCTTCTCACTGAGGTCCGGTGTGCAGGAAGCCTGGCATAAACAGAAAGTCCCTAAAAGTCAGAGCCTCGGACAAGTCTGATACGTCTGTGTCTGAGATGTGCACAGGTGCCAGCCATTAAACACTTTGCCGCAGGTTCTGCCTGGTGCATCCAGCATTCCAGCGCACCTCCTGGCTAAGGCAGCAGCCCAATAGAAAGGGTCTGGCGAGAAAGGCTTTCGACCAGCTGACACCATGGCTTGTGCTCTGCAGGCTTCGGCTGCCGAGAGTGCAAATGCAGACGCCCCAGTTGCCGCACATGTTGATTGCCTCAGCCTTTCGTGGCCTATCGGGCCTCTGCCAAGTCTGCACGCCAACCTGCATGCCTCATGCAGTCTCAAGCAGCGACCGTTTCATGTACTGGAGGCTGGTGAACCGTCGGGAATCCACAGTACTAAGTTCCGCCGACATGTGGTTTGCTATGGTTTGCTTGAGCAATGAAGCCACAGGTGAAGACATTTCATGTGTGTGCGTGAGATTGGACACAGAATGTGCCTTTTCAGCATGAAGTTGAGTCGCCAGTCGTCTCCGCAGTTTTGACGAGTCAAAAGGGGGAAGCGGGTCACTGCACGTGGTGGAGATCAGGCCGAGATGCTTGGATGCACAGGGGATTCATAGAAAAATGCTTTTGACTCATGGTTGGAGAGACCTTGGATCAGGCTGCCGTTTGAAGACATCCCTGCTGTCAATGTGAGGCCATGAAGCTGGACGGCGCTGTGATTGCTGTAACTGGTGGCGCGAGCGGACTGGGCGAAAGCACAGTCGAGCTTTGCGTGTCCCGCGGGGCGAAAGTTGCAGCCCCTTGGTATCGGTAAGTGCGCCGTGTAAGTAAGTGCCGCCATGCTTTCGTCAGCAAGCTGGTTGACCACAAAGCAGGGCATCGTACAGGATGAAATTAGGTTTCACCACTGGCTGCCTGCCTGCTCTAGATTGCATCCGCAGCCGTCAAATCAAGTCGGCACATGAAGTGTAGCGGCTGGTCATCGCGTAGTGATGGAAGCCCTAGACTTGCTCGAACCATTCGAGCTTGATGAGTACACGATAGGAGAGGCAGGGCCTTCCACGTTGTAGTTAATGCAGTGACTGTAGTGCTTGTAGTGGGTAGAACGAAGGGCGAGTACTGTCCAAGTACGAAGTTGCTGCCTTCATTTTTTGATGCCTTCATCAGCCTTCATATTTTGATGCCTTGTCTTTCAATAGACTGCTGTCAGGTGAGAAATGCATGGGAGAATTTGGAGCGACGATGCGGGTCTCCCAAAGCGGCGGCCGAGGAGTTTCTCCAAAAGCTTGCTGCTGCCATCCCGAAGACCGAACACATGCAGAAGCGTGCCAGCACCGTCTGGACAAAGCTGAACGAACTGCTTTCGGCCTTGCATGACCAATCAATGTACACGACCCGGTTGGAATACCTTGCCCTGAGGCACATGAATCAGGACATCTCAGCCCCAGAAATAGAGACTTTCAAAGGGCTGCTTCTTGAATTCTGTGCTCAGAAGCTGGGCGGCATGATGACTCCTGAGTTTCAGTTCGGCATCTCACGCCTTGTTGATGCAGTGGGTGCATCCTACCAGCACACCCGTGAGTTCTACAAGTCCAACCTGAAGATCCTTGAGGCGAGCTGGGTGGTAGTGCAGGAAAATTCCAAGGAGGCTGAAGCCGAAGCGGAAGCTGCGGAGGGCGAGGAGGGTGAGGAGGGCCAGATGGAGGCACAGGAGACTGAAAAGGCGGAGGAGCAAGCAAACACGCCAGAGAAGAAAAAGAGTGGTGAACGTGCAAGCAACGAGGCCAACAAGACCATGAAAGAGGGGTCAGCAGCGAATTCGCAAAATATGAATGTACCCACAAGCTTTGGGGAAATGGCACGTTTTAATGCTTCAGTCATGGGCGTTGGGGACCGGCCATGGCTTTCAGAAATGATCACCGCGCTGGACAACCTCGTCCCAAACGTGGGCAACATTGACCGCTTGCAGGAGCTGAGTTTTCAAGACTAGCTTCCCAAGCCTCACCCGCGGGTTGTTCTGATGCCCCATGCCAGGAAGAGTGCGATGTCCTCTCGCTGCTGCTGTGGCGTCACTCGCGGCATGAGCAGCTTGATCTCCCCGGCTTCAAGTCTGTGATGTTCGCCTCTCTGAGGCCCCTGTCTCACATCGTAGCTGCATTCGGCCTGCTTGCTTAGCTCCTCCTGTAAGCTGTAACTGTACCTGGCTCAGGTCCATGTTGCAGGCCAAGTGGAGCATGAAGTACGAAAACGCTTGGAGCTGGTTCTGGGCATGCATCGAAAAGATGCTAGATGCCAACAAGCAGCTGCCGGGCATGTACTACAGCCACCTCAAAAGCTTCAGTGAGTCTCTTGATGAAGAGACAGCGGGGGATTTCAAGCTTGAAGTCTTTGAGACTCTCTTCGCCACCTGTGTGCAGACTCAAGACTACCTGAAAGCATCCAATGCTCGCCTGCAGTATATCATGGGTCGTATCCTGCGTGTCATGGGCGACATCTTCACCAAAACAAAAACGGCAGTCAGGGATATCTCCGCCCTGGGATTACTCCATGCCGGATATGGGGTCCCTGAGGACCTGACTGTCCCTTTCGCAGAAGCAATCATGATGACCGTCAAGAAATTCAGCACTAACGAGTCCATTCATCCTGGGGTCCACTGGTGTCTGAACCTTGCAGCCTGGCTTGAACAGGACCACGGCAAGGCTGCCAGGCTTCGTGAGCCAGTCTTAGCTGCATTTAGCATAGGAGATCAGCCCAGGTCAGCAGGATTCTGACGCGGACTTTGGCCGAAGGCTCCACAGCCGTCATGCAGTCAATCAACAAGAACTCGGCGAAGGAGCTTCAGAAAGCCGTGGCACCTGCTCCTCGAGGTAAGCGAGAGCAGCTGCTCTTGCGAGTCCAGGCCTGGCTGCTCTTCTTGCAACTTTGGCAAATTTCGGGATTCTGCAATCACAGTGGTGAGTTTTCTGTATAGCGTGCCGAACGCACAGCACCTGCGAGGTCGGCACTGAGTCCATTTCACCTTTGATTTGGGCCATCGAGACCGGGGCGCTGAAGTCGGCGCAAGCTATTCTCCAGGAGCTGCTGACAATTCGGGCGGACCGCTCCTCCTACTACTACAGTATGAAGGGCCTTTTCGTACGACACCCGGACATTGTGCAGCTGCTGTGTCGGCAAGCGCCTACGCTTCTGAGCCACCTGCTAGACGGCAACTTGCCTGCAAATTCTTCGGCAGTAGTTGGAAAACAGAGTCGCCATCTTTGTCATCCCTGAACTGCAGGTCTGGTTTGGAAGTCCAAGAAGATCAAGGGAGGCACGCGGCGAGTGAACTACTACATTGGCTCCCTGCTCCCTGGCAGAGTAAGAGAGGTGGCGGGATTGTTTGCTGGACAGGACATGCTGTTTAGGCAGTCCTTTAAGACACACAAGTCTACTCGTAGCGGGAAAATAGAGCTCTGAGGTTGGTCGATGACACCGGCAAGCTGACCCCATCCCTGCATACCTTGATTTTGCACGGTGACCCGGAGATAGTCTGTCATTCATGCCCAGCTTTTGCCGCAGACTTGCTGTGGAGTCGCATGTGCGGTTTAGCATTCATTGGCACGAAGATGTGGTTTGTCCTCACCTTGATCAACTTCATCGTGGGCTTGCAGTATGGAATCCTGCCGAATGATCCGGCGGGACCGAGTCGCTTTGTGCTGATAGGCTGCCGAGCTGCTCGGATGGCAACACATGGGACAGACCACGTGCCGTAGGGAGCGTGCATGAGCGTGCCTGGGATGAGTGGCGTTCGCTACTAAGGCCTTCATGTACATTTTCAGCTTGGGGCAGCTCTTTGCCAAGCACATGTACCAGATCTTGAAGTCCTGCGCAGCAGGGAAAACTTCGCATTGCTTTTGGTGTTGCAAGGTGCCAACATACTCAATTGCCTCGAGGCAGGAATGCATCGAGCTTATCCTCGTGCTATTCTTGCTGACAATGCTGGGCATGGAGCCTTTTTTGCACTGCCTGCAAGTGAGCGATAACTGGATGACCAGTTGTTGTGCTTTTGGGCAGTTCTATTGCGACCTCTCAGAGTGGTATGATCGTGTTTCTTGCATTCCAATGCTTCTCTACTTCGTGCTGGCTTTCGAGCTGGTCCACTTCAACATTCACCTTTCCTGTTTCGCAGTGATTTGTACACGATTTTGGTGGGAGTTCATCGTCTACATAGGGGCCTTAGTGTTTTTGGCGACGGCTTTTGCCTCCGCGATAGCGTGCTTGCCACAGTCAGGGCTGGAAGGAAGCATCCAGATGAGGGACTTCTACAACTGGCCCGCTGCGTTCCAGGCCCTCCTGTCGATGGGACTCAACGTCTATGGTGCAAATAGTTATGAAGAAATTGCCCTGGCGTCTGAACCACTCCTGAAGTGGTTTGTGATTGCCTTCGCATCGTTTTGGCATGTTTACTTTATGAACTTGATGGTGGCTCAGCTATGCCAGCGGTATATCGCTATTTCCAAGGATGCACTTGGATATGCGCGCCTAACCCGCGGAACCATCATTTTCGAGACTGCAATGCCGATGATCCCCGTGAAGCGGTGGACGAGGTTTGTCAACTCGCTGCATCTCGATGAGCCATGTGAGCTTGACGAGGGCGACGCAGGTCCCAGAGGAGGTGTGGCAACCTCGGAGGGCCAGTACGAGTACCTGAATCACCCGTCCATCGAGCTAGATCGGGTTCAGCGCTTTGGAGGCCTTGCGTCACCACAGCTGCCATGGCCTCCATCAGTGGAGGAGGATGACAGTGCTGTTGCTCTCCTTCAAAAAAGCACGGACAAGAGGTTCGATGAAATCGAGAGGCTTGTCTTTGATATTGCAGTCAAACTAGGCGTTCGCAACCAGCAGGGTGCCCTGGCATCTGTGCTGGGAGGATCGCAGCTACATGGCTCTGCAAGCCATGCCAGCCATCAAGATAATGAAGCTGACAAGTCCAGAGGAGGTGCGGAAGACAATGGACACTCTCCATACAGTGTTGGCATGGAGGAGGAAGAGGAGGTGGAAGAGGACAGAGGGGATTCTCCCTTAGCAAGTCCTGCGGCAGTTCCACCAGCGCCACCACCTAAGCAAGGTCAGGGAGTTGTTGGCGTGTGAGCCAGCACGGCGCCACAGCTTGCACGTGAAAACAAATTAATTTGTGTTTCACCTTTGGGTGCATCCATGCAAAATGACATGCGCTTGCACAAGGCTCACGGAGCAATGTGGAGCAGTGGCTTCTAGCCTCGGAATTTGTTTCACCAGAGATCGATCAAATGAGCGACTCTGTAGACAGACTGCTTTGCTCATTTTTTAGTTACCCGTTTGATTTCGCGTTCAGTGTGTGAAATTCATGGAGGCAGACGGCTCTTGAACACACTTGCGAACCTTCTTTGTAGCACGGTGTAGCTCATGTTTTGTAAAAAAAAGGTGTGCAGGGTTGCTGCAGCAGCAGGTGGCCGTTGCGATAAGAGGTGTTCCTCGATTCCTTGATGGAAGGTGCAAAAGCTGAGGTTTTGGACATGAACAAAGAGAAGGGTGATGCTGTTGTGTCGAAGGTTGGCGAATCTAATGCGCTGTTCGTGGAATGCCGCTTGACCAGCATTTCTGACAGCATCAATGCAATGCAGCTACAGCAGCAGTGGAAGTAGTGATCTGTCGCGACAACGTTGGTAGCCCGGTTTGGTTGTGCAGAGAATGGCCCGGGTGTTTGCTTTCTCCTGTTGGCATCTCATTCGGGAAGGCAGTGCAGGAGACAGAAGAGTTTTGAAGTCCGCTGTGGTTTGCCTTCATGGGGTTTGGGATCTGAACCCCGCAATAAAAGTACCCCTGGCCTGGCTGTACTGGACACTGTGGCCCTTGCGGCATAGCTCTTCGAAGAAGATTAGGGAGAAAATAAGAGGAAACTCTCTCTCTCTCTCTCTCGCTCTCTACACTGCCCGGTCTCGCACAGGAACAGCAATGCTTGCCTGAGGGGTTTGTAGTTGTTCGCACGCCTGAAATTGCAGGAAGCCAAGACGTTTGGATACTTTTTGGGGACATGCAGGGGGCAAAGGGCGAGCGGCCAACCCAGCTACTTATAGCGTGGAGTTGCCACTTTTGTTTTCGCGACCTTGGTCAATGAGATGTGAAAGATGCACCAGGCTGCACGGCATTGTCTGGAGACACTGTCAAAAGCGCTGTCTGAAGCATGCGGTACATGGGAAGCGTAGATTGGCCAAGCACACCTTTCCAAGATCCTGTGCAATGTCCAAGCGCCACAGACAACAAGTACTGCTTGAGTGAAGTATCAACAGTACGACCATGCATATTCCTTTAATTTTTGGATAACTTCAGCGAAAGCCAGACAAGTTGCGAAAGGATTTGCAAGAAAGCAGGAATGAAGAAGGAAGGGCAGATCTGGACGACAGCGCGGGCAGATGTGTCGAGGGGTCGTGCTCGTCCAATCAGGCAACATCCTGGATGAGAAGTCCGTTGAAGAATGCATGAAGGCCATCAAGCAGAAGTTTGGAAAGCTGAATGGCATTGTCAGCTGTGCAGGCCAGAGTGCGTAACTTGAGCGCATATTCTGATGGGCAGTAATTTCCCCCAAACCTGCTCCCTGTGCGCGCTGTTTCCCAAGCCGGGGATCATGCGGCGCTACAAGAGGCCCTCGCATCGCATTTCAGTTTGATGTTTCTGTGGCAGGCGGCCAGACTCTCGGCACCGACCCCGGACAGTGGGCTTTCCAGTGCTGATTGAGATACTGTTACGAAGATTGGCATCGATCGGCATCGATCAGGGGAAGATGTGGGAAGGGTCTGTCTGAGGCACAGGCGCTACACTGGACAAGAAGGGAAACCCTCACGCGCTGTCTCCATTTAAGAAGACCGTGGAGCTGAATATCCTGGGCACGTTCCTCGTGGCGACGAAGGCCAGGAGGTTGGATCATGCTTTCTGTGAGCCTCCAGCTGCGTACTATCTGCATCAGGTCACTTTGTCATGCACGGTTGCCATGTTATCAGGGCACTAGGTCACTACCCGAAAGCTGAACTCTTTCTGCTTTCCGCAAACAGCGACCCGTAAGGCAGCAGCCCTGATAGCTGAGAACTCACCAGAAGACGAAGACGGCGAGCGAGGACTTAGCATGAAGTAGCAGCTGGTTACCAGCAGGTTATTAGCAGGCGGTCTCCTGGGGATGGTTGGGCGAGGCTGCAAGCATTGCTTGGTTGCTCTTGGAACGCCAGGATGCATCATCAACGCCGTCTGGATGCAAAAGCACATTCCGCAAGCCAACAGAGGACTAAGACAATCATTTGGAGTCAAGGTATTTGAAGCACGGGGTACGGGCATCAGGGAACAAGGTCTTTCAGCACAGCCTGTAACTATAATTCATCTGTTCAAAATCTGCGTCGTGACCAGTGACTGAGAGAGTCTGAGGTCGCCAGCGTTGCAGCTCAAGATGGCAAAGAGCCCAGCTGCTCTGTCAGAGAGTCTCGCACTACCTTTCCTTCTCGAAGCAGTGGCTGAACAGCTATTGCTGGAGCTGATCAAAGGGCGATGTAGACGGATGTAGCGCTTCCCAGGAATCAATTCTCAAACCCACCCCTTTGTGGCCAGGGAAGGTCAGCGGAGGCGTGTTATGTTCTGCATACGAAGCCATCCGCCAGCTGAGATGGTGGAAAGGTGCCCGAATAGGAAGTCACGCCTAAGACTGCCTAGCATTGCTCATTAGTCTCTAGAGGTCTTGAGCGCGGAGTTGCTGAGACCTCCCTGGGATCGAGGTCAAAACGGCCAGATTGCGTACTCAGCAGGTGTCACGGCTATCTAGATGTGTAAAGACTAGCAGCGCGCAAGGAACAAAAAGCTGTTTCGAGGTTTGGTTGCATCTGAGGTAAAGGGGGCATCATGTCCATGACCCTCCCCATGGCCCGCGACTTGGGGAAGCGAGGGATCCGCGTGAACTGCATCCTGCCCGGTGTGTTTGACACACCGATGACAGCGCCTTTGAGACCTGCCGCATTTGGACTTTGCAGAGCCCTAATTCGCTGATTTAAAGCACCTGTGCCTCGTTCCGAACCCAAGGAAGCAGTTCAAGCCGGCAGTGTACAAAAACCTCGCGGAGCAGCCTTTCCGCACATTTGTTCTTTACCATTGCGTGCTTTAAATGCTTTACATGCTTGGAGGCTGCATTAGGAAGCGTATGTGTGCTACAATTCGTTGTCTTTCAGAGTTGTCTTGGCGGATCCCCACATGTCAGCTACAAGGCCGCACGTGATGTGATGCTGGTTGATTACTTGGTATGGTCAGATATGCTCAGCGCAGCCAAGGTCGAACGTCTTTCCGAACACGCGCCTGGGCCTGCCAGACGAGTTTGCCAAGATGGCGGTGGCGATCCTTGAGAACAAGTCTCTCGGCGCAAAGGAGCAAAGGCCACATCAAACAAGCGAGAAGAACAGAAATGCAGCAATTTGAGCAACCCTTGCATCGCTCGCCTGGCATTAGGTTTGTGAACGGCGAATCCATACGCGTGGACGGCGGAATTCGGATGGGCAAGCTTTGAGAGGACAACATGGCAATTGGCCACAGGTCCTTCTTTTAGCCGGTATCGGCTTCACGGCTCTGAGCACAGCGAGGAGCAAAAAGACCCTCAAGGTCTGAGGTTTTAGCATCAGCTAGGTTTGTTCCCTGCATGACATGTTCCATCACAATGCCAGGATGAAAGAACTTCTTAAGTTGTTGCACACCGACATGGCGGAGGGCCACCGCGCTGTGGCAAGGGACCCAGGCGCTGTTGTACGGTTGCGCACCCTTTGGTCTTCGAATAGGCTGGATCGGGACAGCGTGTGGGAGTTTTAGGGGACTTACAGGCTTTTCGGGGCGCAGTGTGCGGTCACTCGGGTAGACTTGTGAAAGGAATTGTGCCAGCTTTCCGGTGCGGCTCCAGATGTTGGCTTCAACATAGCCTGAGAGCTTGGAAGCGCACGCGGGAGCCATGTACCTTATATACGACAGCAACCTGAGGGAAGCTGCTGCCGTTGCAGCGCAGCTTGCCGAAAGTGGTGAAACATTTCGCCTGGTGGACGTTGCTGACCAAAATCCCACCCAAAGGCATGCAGTCACATGGAAAATTCTCGGTGACTGCCTTGGCATAGCAGCTCAATCTAGCGGCCAGAGGGCGGATGCTAGAGCTCACCTCAGCGAAATGCTTGTTGAGTGCTCATGCTGGTTTTGCACGCCTGATGGAGTTGCAGGACCAGTGGACTTGGAACAGGCGGCAGCAGTCGACATTGGCCTACTTCTCCGGGAAGCTGCCTACCATCGAGACCTGTCTCGCCCAACTGCAAGAGAGCTGGAAGCGGCACTGGAATCCTTGACAGTTTCCGCGGCCAGTACAGACTCGGCAAGCCTTTGTGCTCAGGCAGCAGCGATCCTGGAGCTCCATGGTGCAGTCGTGGTGTCGGCTTTCTTGGGAGAGCAACGCGCAACAGAGCTGGCAGATACAGATTTTGGAAGTCTTTCGCCTGCGAACCCAGGTATTGAAGGGTCGCCGTCCTTGGGGGGTGGACGTGGGGACTGGGCTGTTCTGCCAGTGGAGGCTCCCGAGCAATTTCTTGCGCAGCTGGATTCTTTCGTTGCAGGGCTGCGGCCACTTGCGGAAGGCAAGATGCAAACATGCGAATTTCGAACCTGGCCGATGGTGACTGTTTATGAGCCGGGTATGAGGTATACATGGCACCTGGACAATGGAAATTGCAAGAACGGACGCCTGCTAACATGCATCTATTACTTCAACAAGGAATGGCCTGCTGAATCCGGTGGCCAGCTTCGTCTGCTTAAGCAGAAAACCTGCGAAATGCAGATCTTGGCAGAAGTGCCGCCGGTCTTCGACACACTGGTGCTCTTCTGGTCCGCGAGTGTTCCACACGAAGTTCTACCTCCCTGGACAAGGCTCCGACATGCAATATCGGTATGGTATTTATGCCCGCTTTGCGGGGGCGAGCATTTCTCTGTCGGACACGCCGAGGCAGCCTTTGGCCAATCGGTACAATCAGCTGTTGAACGGATCCGGTCCGCACTTCAAGCTACACAGCCTACAGCATTGCAAGAGGCTGATGCTGTCCTTCATCAGCTTGTCGAACTGGAGAGGCGTAGTGACAAGAAGGCTTGATGTCGTCCATCCGCCGGCAAGCGTGCCTGGGCTAGTATTAATCAGCGGAATGTGGCTGGTCAAGTTGCTGTTCTGTTTTGTGGCACGCTGATGATATCAAGGTAGCTGAGATATGTCCGCATACATTTGAGACACAGAGCACGCATCAAGCTAACTACCGTTCTATGCGAACATGTGCATCAAGGCAAACTGAACCAAATGCAAACATCAAAGCCTCGCCCCACCGGACCAAGCAAATCTGCTGAGCCCCCATGAGCACACAAGTTGTTGCGTGAGTGTTTTCATGCTCGGAGCAATGCTTGCCTGCCTGAGCTGGAGCAACATGAGACGGAGAAGCCTGGCCCTGGCCTCAGATTTGACCCTTAGGATGGCGTGCTAGGTTGGTCGCCTCTCTGTCCACAACGCATGCAGTGACTGTACTAGAGTTTTATTCCGCGGACGGAGCGGTACAAGGTTCACCAAGTCGTCTTTGCTTGGGCGTGGCTATCCCACAGAGCTTCTGGACAAGGACCAGCTCGGAACCGGCTAGTCTTTGGCAAAGATTTCTGAGTTCTGCAGCAGCAGCAGGCTTTGGTGGCTACACGCCGCCTGCACCCAACTGCCCGGCCTTCAGCTGTCCCAAAGGCAAGCTGCCGGTCGGAAAGGCAGATGTGGATATTGTGACTTGCCCCGATTCATGTGAGCACGGGCAAGAGGGAGCACCGTGCTGGGCTGAAGTGGGAAAGTTGCATGTCATTGTGAGCTACTGTGTGGCTATAATCATGGCATTGTCTGAATAAAAGGTATATTGCTGTTCACTCAGTCTGTTCTTAGTGTATCGACAGCCTTGAGGAAACTGCTTGGATATGATCTCATCCATTCATGTCCATCCTGCGACATGGCCCTAAAGGGCCAGGCTAGATTGGGTCTCAAGCTCTTCTTGGTCATGTGCCTCGAGGGTGGGTGCGGCATTCTTGGCTCAGGTTAGTTTCGGCTGCAAGGAGGCTGGGCTCAATGTTTTGAGCATGATGCTTGGCAAATGGTTTCTCAATTTTTGTCTTGGGAGGTCAGGGGAATCTGTATTGTCTCAGGTCTTTGCAGATCATGAGGTAAGCATGGTCGGGAGACTTGTTTTGAAGATCTCTGGCAAGAGTATTCAGGAAAGACTTTGATCCTTCCAACCCCTATGCGGGCATGAACCAGATGGGCAAGAACCTGAACAAGTGCTGCAGCCTGGCAAATATGATTTCTGAGTCTGCAGGAGGGAGTGCCAGTTGGCTTTGGATTGGCTGAAGTGATTTCACGGGAAGTTGATCTTGGAAAACACCCGGCTGGTGCAAGCTGCCGCGGAAAAGCGAGGTCTCGAACGAGACATTTGCAAGCAAACATGCGGGATGACGTCGAAAGAGTGCCACGACAGCTATCAGTTGCTTGGCTGGGGAGGAGCCGGCCTTTGGCCGTGTGTGCATTTTTGGCGTTCACGTTGCTATGATGTCCCAGGGTTCCTCCCAGACCAAGGCACTGTTGCGGGGTTCCAGGCTCCAATGGCAAGCTGCCCCCCCCCCTCCCCCCCCCTCCCCTCCTCCCAATTCGTCCTTTAGTACATACTGGATAGATTGGTGGGCTCAGTTTTGTTAGGGGATGCGTGCTCACCCAGTTGCGTCCTTTCACCACTGACCCTATAAGGGTTATAAAGGCATTTAAGCCATATAAAGGCATTTGAGGATTTATAAGCCTTATGAGCCACATAAAGGCATTCAAGGGTTTAAAGCCCTTACATGCCTTTATATGGCTTCAATGCGTTTATATGCCTTTATATGCCGTACAAAGGCATTTAAGGGTCAAGTTATGAATGGCAAGTAGAAAGCACTGCTGATAAATAATGGTTGGATGACAGACCCAAAAAACACAGGATTAATCTCAGTGTCGTGAATTTTTTTCAGCTTGCGTGCAAGAGTGCTTCACGTGGACATGTCGCGCGCATTGTAGTGCTGTAGCATGTGCCCTTCCTATGAGATGCGCTCAGGAAGTGTCAGCAGAAGCTGCTCGGCTTACGCTGGAGGTTTTGTCGACACAGACTGGCCAGTTGTGCTGAACAGTTTCATGATTTTAAGATGAGTTCCTCGGACTCCGAATGCTGATTGTTGTCCCTGAACCAAGGGTCTGCAAAGGTGATCAGAATTGCCAGTTGCAGGCGGCTTCAGAGAAAGTGGCAGAAGAACAAGCACGAGAGTAGCAGCACAGCTTAGCAATGCACAACCTAGCGGTAGGCATACTTTTTGTAGCCATCGCGGTAGAATTGGCGGTCGGAAAGAAAGTGACAGGCCATGTAGGCTACAGCGGCAAGCGCTTCTCCACAGCTTCAAAACGTTCATGCTTCAGCTGAACCAACTTGCTTTCAGATCCAGTTTTCCCTGCATGCGTCACAGCCAAGCGGGAGGGGAAAACTGGAAAACAAGAACGAACATGAGCCTTGCAACTGAAAATACGGCAGGCGATGGTTGCGGATTTTTCTGGGGATCCCTACGATGTTGACAAGGCCGGTGTCATTGCTCCACACTATTTCGCATTGGAGTGACATGCAGTGATCAGCTTTTTTCCATGCACTACATGATTCCGAGTTGATGTGCAAAGGCTGAGAAGTTTGATGACAAGAAATATGATCCGATGGAGATCTTGCCTTAGATGTGCGGTGGTCCCACTTAGATTGCAGGGTTTTTTTCTGTGTCGGCCTCAAGTCGATTATCTATGCAGATACCTGTAGTCGGTATGCGGGCGGATGAAGCGCACTGTGCTAGGTCCAAATGTCGGTCATACTCCGCAGCACAATCAGCCGTTTGCGAGTGCGTGGATCGCAGCGAAGTTGGGATCCAAGCAGAGCAAGCAGAGTTGGAGTTCTTGGATTTCCCAAGCAGAGTTGGATGATGTGTGTTTCAGGCGCAAGCTGCGAACGAGAAGAAACTGAAGGAGCGGCGGAGCGGTCATTGCTTTTGATGTGGCTTTGCGCTTAGCTCCTTGTACCTCCAATCGAGGCATTCTACAAGAAGTTCAACCCTGAGAAGCTGAACGATAGTGGTGCCCTGGCTGGCATAACATTGCATAGCCACAAAAGCCTTGCAATTGCCTTTGATGGTCTAGGCCCATGTGCAAGCAGAGTACGTACTGTAGCCATCTGTAAACCGCAGTTGACGGTGGTCAATGTAGTTTTCTTGCGATTGGAGGATGCTGCTCGTGAGAGGGCTTTCCATGACACATACCAGTCCGAATTGGCCAAGTTTTGCCCAAAAGGCTGGGCTTGGGCGTGCCCGTCAAGCCCTGCCTGCTTTAGGGCTCCCATGCTTGCTGTTCTGAATTATCAGTTTTGGCGAAGGCGCTTTGGATCGCTTCCCGGTTCGCGTTGTTGCATCACTTGCATGTGTCGAACGCATGTTCGAGTTCTTTTCGGCTGGTCCGTGCACGTCTTTGTTTGCTTGCGTGCCAACCATTTCATCGTCAAAGCTTGTGGCCCTTGCGCCTCCTTCTCTACCTGCTGTGAGCACTGACGGGACTGACAGGTTTTCCGTACGGAATTTGCTTGGCATGGAAGTTTGTGGCAGCCACGCGGCCAGACATCGGACCGGGGTTTGCTTTGAAGCAAGAGGGTGGTGCCGCGAACCTTCCACCGGTGCTACCCTTCGCAAACACAAAGTGATGAAGCTCTCACGCTGGCAGTGCAGAGCTTGCACTTTCGAGGATTTCCTGAATCAGGTTCGCGTTGTTGCGTCACTTTGAGGTGTCGAATGCATCTTCGATTTCCCCGCCTGCCTGACTTGGTGGGAATAGCGCGTGAGCAGTAGAGCGTTGATTGCGCTCTCAAAGCCAGCCCTGGATGTGGGGCCAGACATTATTGCTTCACCCCATCGGCCGTGTGGCTGGATCAAGCGATGAAAGGACTGCAGAAGTGTGAGCAGTGTGGCTCACCCTCAGTGGATGTGCTGCTCTACGAGCGTGCCTGCCTGTATTAAGCAAAAGTCAGGTTGTTATCACATGCAAACGGGTATGGAGCTCACAAGAAAAAGGGCGTGCAGGACAGGTCAGGATGCACGACACGCGGGCACATGTCCTTTTCGTGGCTAAAAACAAGAGCGATTTTTGGAGATGCCTGCACATGTTCCAGCACCCGCTCAGAGCATTTGATCAGGTGAAATTAAGGACGTTGAGGAGGTGTGGAAGAAGTGGAAGGGCAAGGACAGGAGTGATCTGTGCTCGCGTCTTACGGGCGGTGTAGGAGAGCAGGAGATCCAGGTGGCGCTTTGAATGTTGCCAGGAAGCCTCCATGTTTTTGGCTCTTGCAACCAAATACAAGGACAAGGCTCAACCAGATCTTGACGCGTGAGATGTACGCAAGGCGTCTCTTACAAGACAGGCCGTCACCATCAAGGAGAAGCCGAAGCCGCCCCCCTACGAGCCTCGTTCCTCAAGCCAGGCGCCGCAGGCAATGCAGCATGCATTGTAGTATTATAGTCTTGTAGTAGGACCATAGTTACATGGCATAATATTGTTATAGTGTTTTAATGTACAGAGCAGAATTCGATAATCACACATTCGCAGCATTCGCAAGTGTGAAATTTGCAAGCGTTTCAAAAGGCCTCCACTGTCTCTCTGGTCCGTTCATGCATTGATGCCTGTGATGCGCTTCTCGCAGCCACCGCAGCTCGTGGAAACGTACCGCCAGGCTCCCCAAGGCTTATAATTCGTATGTATCTGGGGGTGCTGAAAGAGATGGCTTCATCAATGTCTTCGACGGTTCGGCTCCATTACGTGAGCCTCCCCACCAAAGTTAAACGGCCTCTTAAAACGAGTGCTTCAGCAAACTCCCCACCCACATTCCTGCGAGACTTGACCAAACAGCAAGTAGCATCCGATCTAAAACACATGTGTAGAGCAGATGAACGGCATCTGCCAGTTGCGTGAGCTAGCTGCTAGCTGCTTTTCTGCATGGGACGAAGGGAACGGTAAGCTCGCTTGAGGACGATGTATTTATGGCCCAGCTTTTACAACCCAAGGTCCATGGCGGCAGCGGCAGCAGCAGCGGTAAAGAGACGTCATGAGGTTGAAGCTGCCATTGCCGAAGGGAACATCGGAATTGGCGCACGGGTAGAAAGCTATGCGAAGAAGGTGGGGCCAAAGTCACATGTTGCTGTGTGCGGTGGTTAAGGAAGAGCGCATTTTGACCGGTCCTTCGTCCAAGGATCCGCTGCCTCCGGCTGACCAAGCTGGAATATGGAGATTTCAGCGCAAGGCAGGTTTGCCTGTATGGCTTCTGTAGACGGCTCCGCAAGCCCGTGGTGGAGTTCCTACACATTCTAGCTGCACTATGCTGCCGTCAAGCTTCGGTGTTTTGCATAAAGCCTGTGTAGGCCTTGCGATTGCAACCCTCACTAATCTTGGCAAGGTCGCGTCTGCCTATATGGACATCAAGTCGCAGATGGGCGTTGCGGCACTCATTTGCGGAAATTTCCTGGTCAACATAGTAGAGTCACCTGGTATGCAGAGGGCAGCAAAACCTGGGCAGTCTTATAGAGTGGAGGGATTGATTGGGCCATCCTGGGCGTCAAGTAGATATTCAGGGGGCCCTAATATAGGACAGACCTGAAACAATCAATCCTCTGAAGGAGTCCTCGTTAGTTTGGGGTCTGTCGTATTTGGGCGTGGGATGTAGGAATCTAGCCTAGGTAGTCTTGGGGTGAGCTAGGCAAGGCTTCAGCAGTCAAGCTGAATATTGTGCTTAGTTGCGCGCATTGCGTTCATCTTTACTTTGTGAAGGCTTACGGGCGTGTGGATAGCCAACGCTGACCGTCAGTCTAATGTCTCATGCCAAGCAGAAGCCTGTCACAAAGATGCAGTGCCAAAAGCATTGTCGAGGAAGTGGGTCGACCCGCATGGAGACAAGCATCCAGGCCTTTGGCGAGGGACCGACGCTTGGCTGAATGCGGGATTATTATTGCTACTATCATTACCATTACTACTTTGATGATTCTTTTTTTTTCTCTTATTGCGGTAGCGCAGATATCCCTGCATTGCCTGGCTTATATTTCTCTGAAAGCTCCTTAAAACAGGGACCCCGAACAAGGTACTCCTAATTTGGGAAACCCCCATATCTCAAGGACCTCTTCTTCAACATCATCTTCTCCTTTGAGCTGATAGTGAACATGCAGCTTGGCAGAGATTATTTTTTGCAGCTCTTGGCTAGTGTTCCTCGTGCAGATGACGATTTTTGAGGTATGGCTTCTGGTGGCGCAGATTTTGGTCTTCTGGATGGAATCTTGACCATGTCTTGCCTTTCATTGAGATGCGCAATTCTGCGCTCCGAATGCCGTGAAATGTTTGGCAAGTGTTTGCACAGCCAAGGAACATTTTCGATGTGGTAGTTGTGTCTATAGGCTGGATGCCTTGTTGGGCACACCTTTTTTCTGACCTGACATGGACGCCACCCAGTGAATGACACTGACTTCTGACAGGCATTCTAGACGTCTTCGAAGTGCCGCTTCCGGGTCCTCTTAGCTTACTTCGCATGATGCGGGCTTTCCGTGTATTCAGACTTTTCAAGCTGCTGGGTGGCAACTTTCCCGATGCTGTGAAAACATGTGGTGCATCAGCAATAGTTCCTCTTCACTCTCGACTGTCTGCCTCATACTGACAAGCATTCAAGGCGCGTTAAGTCGCTGCGAAAGCACCTTTGACGGCAGTCAGACCTGACTTAGATTCAGCAACTCTAGAGAAAGGCCCCCGCCCCCNNCCCCCCCCCCCCCCCCCCGCCCTCAAGCTGATCGGCAGACGGCCTCGATGCTTCAATGGTGAAACTTCCCAAGCAAGGATTCTAGAATCCTTGGCGAAAGCTATGCCCTCGCATGTGAATGCCTTTGGCATCCTCTTCCTGGTAATGCAACCTGGCAGCGGTTGAAGCGTCTTCAGCAGTGCATTGTCTGTGGCCGGTGGGCACAGGATTCTTGAAGCCAGCTGGAGCTATGATGCATTTCTGTAATCTGACATCGAGGGCGTGCGTAGTGAAATCTGAAGTGGTACAGGTGTATCTACTCGATTCTGGCCGTGGACTTTTTCATGCGCCACAGATGCAAGAGGGCCGCCGATCGTTTCGGGCTATAACAGGAAACAGAAGAAGTCTGCCGCTGTTGTTTGCATGTGTGGCAACCCTCCCTGCAGATTTTAGCCTGCAATGCCTGACTTCTCAGAAAGTTTGCTTGCTGGCCTCCAAGGAACTTTGCGTCAGAAGGATATTACACCAACGTGCTGTGCTCCAGCCACGATTCACATTCAGAGCACGCTTCGGTCCAGGCCAACTGTGGTTGGGCCTGAGGCAGTGGCACAAACCAACAGCAGCACAGATCAGTATGGCCACTGGCCGACAAAGCCCCCACATGGCTCTGCTTGTGGCTGATTGTTTCTTCGGGCGCGCGTGATGCCAGGAATATGACAGTGCCGCTGAGAACAGCGCGCGAGCTCAACCACGGTGAGGAGTACTTTGGAAACTTTGGTCGCTTTGCTTTGTATTGGACATGCTTGGCATTTCTTCTCTGCTTGTTGGGCTCTGCTGACAGCTCTTCGCTGAGGCCTCTCACTGTTCACCATGTTTCAAGTCCTGACGGGCGATTCCTGGTCAGAAGCCGTGGCACGGCATCTGAACCTCGAGCTGGTATTAAGAATTCGCTGACGACAAACTTCCATGGTTGATGCGTCAGGGTCATCAAAGCTTTTGGGCGACCAGACATGACCAGACTCAGTGGCTGGCTAGGCATGTGCAGGAGCAAAGGTGGAGAAGTGAATGTGATTTGGCGGCCAAGGATATTTACAGACGACGTCACCCGTACAGTCGGGACGACAGTCTATTTCATTTCGTTTCAGTTTCATGGATGCAAAAGGAAAGCTTCATTTCCCACTTGCCTGGTGCTTTAAGCATCCTGACAACTACATGAGAAGCATGTCTTGGAAACTGTGCTGGGCATGCACGGTCATGCCTGCTTCTATGGACTGTCTGAGGCTACTTTGTGGAATCGTGATGGCCCAAGAAGTCGCATTAGCCAAGAGGCGGTGGGAGCTCTTCAATCCAAGGTGCTGATCAACGTGACCATAGCCGTGCTATTGGAGCCGCTTGGCACGTGAGTGCGATTATTTGCCAGAGTTTCTGGGACAAAAAAAAGTGGAAGTAACCAGCTGGAGATTTGCACGATGATTTGGCTTCGGCTGCTGTGACAACTTTCTGGTTGTCGCACTGTAGTACTACACAGACTGATTGTGGAGATCATGGCCTCAACAGGCTGCAGTGCGGCAAATTCTGTCCTTTGCCCGAAGACATGCGCAGTGCCAGGAAAATGGTGGATGACGGCTCAGAGAAGCTGGCCGAAGCTCAGCGGGCGGCAGCTGAAGCAGCTGAGAGCTCCTGTGCGACCGTCGACTGGGCATGGCAGGCACACTGCGCTCACGTTTGTAGGATTATGTAGGATATTTCGTGGATATGGCCCAGCATGGCAGTAGCCAGCCATGACTTGAGAGGTTTGTCAGTGACTTGGCAGCAAATCTGTTTGTAGTAGCAAGTGTTCGTCATGTTGAGGTTTGTTACTTGACGGGCTTACATGTGGTCTGGCGAGCCTGCGATCGAACACCTAGGCTGCCAGAAGCAGAATCCAGGGGAGTCGTGGAGCTGGAGCCGCTGGCCAGAAAGCGAAAGTGCCAGAAGCAGCCCTGAAAAATGCAAATGAAAGGGAGATTGCGTAGACTGCGACACTTTTTTTTTTTTGGTTATCTCAGGAGCGAAGTGCACGTTCTCAGACAAGATATGCAAGTGTTCAAGCAACACTTGGAAACTCTGGCAGCTGTCTTGAAGGACCCCGATGGTTTGTTGCATGCAAGGTCATCAGAGATAAGGAAACTGCCAGAACCATTCCACGTATTGGTCTATCTAGGCCATGTGCAGCGTAGATCTTTGCGCTGTGCTTTTTTTGCCCAATGTCCTCAGGTGAGCGGAAGCCGAACCAAAGATCACAGGACGTGTTGGCCTTGCATGCCGAGTGTTGTTATGGAGGACAAGCCTTCACTTCTTCGGCTGCGGCGTGGCCACTCGGGCACACAAGTATACACCTGCCATGACGCTTGTATGGCGCGTGAGTTTTCAGTTTTGCAGAGGGTAAAGTGCACACTTTGGTCTGGCAATGATGCTTGCACGTTTGTAAAGAGGCTCTCAGTGTCCTGTCAATGCAGGCAAGCCACCGTGACAGTCACTGTATGATGCACAGCCCCCAAGCTGCTGCCTAGGACCTAGGAACAATTCGCTCTGCACGTGTGATTTAAAGGTTTGCAAGCTGCGCAGAAGCTGTCACCCCCAAACAGCCCGTATGCTGAAAACGAGCCCACCTTGTATTCATCATGGCTGGTGCAGTCATGCAGTCAAAAAGGGGACGGCCTGCGGTGATTTATGTCCTGTAGCAGATGCTCCATGAGTTCTTATGGCGACTCATTAGCTGAAAGTTTCAGAAGCAATGACCTCCGTGCTCAGGAGCCTGCGGTACATGTTTTGCCGAGCATGACAGAGGCCCCAGGGCCTGTTTCACTCAAGATGTCAGCCTAGCAATCTCTGAGGCGAAGAATTTAGTTTTCCTTTTGTGACGGATTTTTTGCATTTGGATTGCAGACTTGCTAGTCTGGCTGCACATGCCTTTGTAGCCATAGTATCCTGGATTCTGGATATATCGAAGCAACCATGTGTACTTAGAAGAAAAAGGCCCAGCAGCTCTGAGGAAAGGAAGCGGCAACAAAGGCCAAGAATAGGCGGGCCAAGAGCCTGTGGTTTCACAGCATGCCAAATGCACATTGCATGTTGAGGTCCACACGCCCCAGCGCAGGTGTCGGTGGTCGCTGTGGCTTGCGAGGGAGCGAAGCTGAAATTGTCTTGGGTGCAAAATCGATGGGGCGAACACTGACCTTTTTTTGGACTCGGTCGCCAGCAATCCTCAGAGAAGGATGTTGCACGAAGACTGAATTGCACCGGATACAGCACGCACAAGTTGATCGCTTTGCAACATGGAAGTGATTGCCACGTACCTCCAGACCTTTTATGAAGAACGTTAAGAAGTGTCGCGAATCTTGGTGCATGTATCCTCCAGGCCCTGATCGGCCTCTAGTTAGAGACTCATCGCCGCTTCAAGGCGGCAGCGATCGCAAGAGCTCACGCTCTAAAAACCTTGTCGCATGAGTTGCAGCTTGCGACCAGCACGTCAATGTCAGACTGGTGGCACGGGCTGCTTTCCTGCTGAAACTGCTGCCAGGTACTGGGGTTCACCAACCGCCGCAACCTGTGATACATACCGTAAGTACTGGATGGCAGCGAAGTTTTTGCAGCCAGCGGGCCCAAGTAGACCCCGTGGCCCAGCATGCTGTCCTCATGGGGAGAAGAGACTGCGCTTGGATAGAGCCTTTGTTGCATTTTACTTTGCATACTACTCAGGGCCCTCTCAGGCCATCTAGGCCCGCAGTCTTCCTCGCCTCTGAAGCCTTCCCTGGGTTGCTGTTCATGAGCATCACTAACCAGGTCTCCTTGAGGTGGCGGAGGCCTGCACTTGCTGGCGGGTGACGCGAAGAGGCACCTCTTTCTGTGACCATTGCAACTGCAGCTCATGAATGCCCTTGTGCTTTCAGATCTCGCCTCTTCATTTCATTGCAGGCCATGGCTGCTGCGGCAGTCAGTGTGGTCGCGCGTCGACAATACCTGGATGAGCTTGCCCGAGAGGGTCAGGCCTGGCTCCTAAAGCAGCCTGTACGTTGCTGTACTTCCCCATGCTTCGCTGCTTGAAAAGGTTTCCGGCCATATACGAAAGACCGTTACGACAGACCTTCCGCCAGAGGGCACAGGCTTTTGGAAATGCCAGCGCAAGGCTTGGCAAGCATGTTGGAAGGTTAGGGGGGTAGCAAAAAGTTCTCTGCGGTCAGAGATTGTCAGAGGCAGCCATAGCCTACATTCAGATGAAAGTCCAGCTCTCCGTTGCAGCGCCCAGCTTCAAACAGTGAAGATTGCCGGCAAGCTCGCTTGCCAGTGCATGAGCACAGTATGCTTGCATCATTCTTTCCCGAGGCGCTCATTGCCGGCAATTTTGTAGCCAACGTGATAGAGTTGCTCGGGTTCATTCAGATAACTGCAGTGGCTCATAGGGCAGGTGGTGCTTGAGCCCTACAGTGCAGACTTTGAGTATGATGCATTTGTGTTTGCAGCTTCTGTCAGCAGTTTAAGCACACGATAGCTGGGAACGCGAGGAAATGGATTGATCCAGCAGCTGAACGATATGCTGCAGTATGGGATCTTGTTGATATGTTCGGAGCCTAGTACTTCACAAAGTTTGCAGGGACATTTCGAAGCATGTGGCAGCCACACAACCTTTGCCAAGCACTGTTTGGCCTCGTGTGTTTCGGTCAAGATGTCTTCATTTTCAGAGCAAGCTCTGGGCTCAGGTTTTTTAATTGCATGTTCACAATTGAGCTAGTGCAGTCCTCAGTCACGAGCTTTGTGTTTCATCAGTCCAAGGTGAGAGCTAATGCTTTTTGGCTGTGCTTGGTGGAAATTGCTGGCCCAGGCATGGAACATGTACGCTTTTTGGTTTTGGCGATTCTGGCGTTCCGGCTGGAACATATTTGACTTTGCTGCTTGCCTGAAAGCTATGGCGGTACTTTAGCATAGTCTAGTCTCATCACCTTATGAGTACTGACATGCTGAAGGTTGTGGTGACCATCGGGATCCTGAACATGACGCGGATTCCTTTGCCTGGTCCCTTTGGCCTGCTTCGAATGATGCGTGCCTTCCGGGTGTTTCGGCCTCTTGCCTGCATGCCGGATTCGAACAATGGGTGACATGGGCTGAATCCGTTTGTGCAGCTCTTTGATGCCAAGCTAGGACTCACCTCTGAGGCTCTTCAAAAGGGTTCGGTCACTCAACGCCATCATGGTTTCTTTAGCAAGAGCTGTGCCTGGCGTTTCGAACGCTTTTGTCGTGCTGCTGCTGGTGATGTCCATTTATGCCATCGTAGGCGGGCAGCTTTTTTCCAAACTTTCATGATCCGTGCCCTTAACCGGATGGGTTTTCTGGGGGCAGCGACATGGCATATGCTCCCTGGAGCTGTTTAGGTCGCCATGAACCCAGAAAGCCATGAGCCTGACAGGTCAGGAGTTCTTCATGTACCATGCCAGCAATTACACCTACACCAATGACATTGGTGACGAAGTGGATCTTGTCACGCCACGGGGGTTGGACTATGGATATGACTACTGGGGGAACTTTGGCCTGGCCCTGTACACCATGTTCCAAGTTCTCACCACAGAGCCCCCTGGCCCCAAAGCAGGTTCGTGCGAGCAATAAGGTTCCCCGTTTGGGAGTTCATTGTCTTTGCTTTTGTTTTGCATCGTTAGTTCTGTAGCCGGGACGTGTTCATGCATATTCTTGCAGTTCGGGCCAAGCATGCTGAATGTGCTTTGACGTCGTAGCGAGCGAAGAGAAAGAAACTACTCTTGGACTTGCCGTGAAGCTCATGTCCTCGGACGTGTAGCAACCACTGATCCTTGCAAAAGGTCCTGGTCTGAAGCTGTTGGACGGCCTTTGCTGAACAGCAATGACGACTTCCAGCAGCTGGGTGTTGCAGTGTTCTTTGGGTCCTACAACTTGCTTGTGGCGTCCTCAGGCGATGTCTGGTTAGCCGCGAACTTGTCAGCCAGACTGCAAGGCATTCTTGTAGCTCAGGTTGGAATCGTCCTGATTAACGTTGTTGTCGTCGTTGCCTTAATCAATGTTTATTGCGCTTCGTCGGTTGGAATTCCGAGCAAGATCTCTTGCTTGATGAGGCTGTTTTGCTGGAGAAGCGACCTGGCTGCTCTCAATTATTGTCATTGGAGATGACTACCCAAAGCTGCTAAGGATGATGGCGCAGAAGGAAGGCGAGAACATGCGAAATGAGATGCACAAGACTCTCTCAGAGGCAGGGCGCGAAGTAGGCATCAAAGGCGACCCCGATGACCGGGCTTGAACGTGCACGTGTTTGCAAGCATGCTGGCGTTGCTAGGCTCCATCTGAAAGAAGCTCAATACGCAGAGCCAGCGTTGCACACTCAGATGAAGCATTCCAGAGGCACCAGCCGCCGTTTCCAGCAGAGCCGGGGCCTGCGCTGCAGCATGTCGTAAGGCTGCCTCGAGCTCCTCTCGGACAGATGCCATGAAAGGCAGTAGCCACGCCAACGCCTAAGTTGCAGCTGGTGCTCGACATTTTACCCCATCTCTCGTTTTGCTACTGACTGATGGATGCTCCGGGTGCTTCGTCATGCTTGTGGGACTGTGCAGACATCAGGGGTCACTAAGGGGTCACTGGATGACACGAGGCTTAAAGGAATACTTGTTCAAAGCTCTTTGAGTGTGTAGACGAGGCCGCAGCCACAGCTGCGCCATCTGCGCCTCAGCCTTTCGGGTTGTTGCGTGGAGATGCCGCTGCCGCCGCTGCCTCAGCCTTTCGGTTGGGCCCTTTTCACGTTTTGCAGGTGGCTAGCTGCCCCGGATGTTTACTGCTGAAGGTTCTGCTGATCAGTTACCAACCAAGCACTGCACGCAGGGCTTAGATAGAATGCAGAAGCTCTCGATGCGATATATGATGCATGTGATTTGATTGGCCCTTTGCTGGCTGAAGCTTTACCGTGCGGCGCTGCCTCTAAGTCTTTTGCAGGCTGCCGAGTGCGCCTGGGACAGCCTGCAGAATCAGCCGCACACGCCGCAGCATCAAAACGTAGTGGTCTCAGAGCTCCAGTGTTGTGGAGCCCCATCACTCGTGAGTGAGCTCGACATACTAATAGATCCAGTACTCCAGAACCAGACATGCGCGTGCAGGAGGTGCCATCTCACACACTCAAGGAGCTGTTCATGTCGCCGCGGGATACTGCAGCTACTCGGTGAGCTTGGGATGTTGAGTTGCAAGGACTGGCCCTTGTGAACAGGCCCTGGGCATTGAGGTTCCTACAGTTGCTCAGCCGAGGTCGGCACCGGTACACTGTCGACGGATGTGCTGAAGGTCCCTGCCTGCATGCTGCAAGATGGCGGCATCATGAAACTCGTTACGTTTCCCAAAATTGACTGGACCCTGAAGTCGACGATTCCGGGACATTTGGATGGAAGCGTTCCAGCCTCGTCGGAATCGATGCTGTATCACACCATGTGCTACATCATACAAGCACATTTTGCTGCAGATGTACGGGCACGCCCATGCTGAATATCGACCATTTGCTAAATTCAGAACAACTCGCTCGAAGTGAAGCTAATCAAAGCTGCAGCTGGTGGACACAGTGTGGACACCAGGTTGGGTGGAAAGTGTAGCCGCTGCCCGCTGAGGTATCTGGGAGTGCAACAACGCGCGAGCCATCTAAAGGCGTGCTTGGAGACTTGTGCTATTGCTGTCCATTTCTTACAGCAAGTGCTGGCAAAGCACCAGCACGTGCAAGAACAGCAGAGTGGCAGGCACGCCAGCGATCGCATGAAGTCTTGCGACACTGGGGGGCAGACTGCATCAACTTCAGCTGAAAATTGACATGTTGTCACGCAGAACATCTGGCGCGATACGCGTTTTCGACGACAAACGGGTCGATCTTGTTCTAGAACGTTCGAATGCAAGCGCGGCGTTTGAACACACCATAGGTTCAGAGAATTGAGGACCGGATGTACCCAGGGGTAGGTTGAGGTGAATCTTGTCAAGACAGTGCTTTCAAAAACTGAAGGCTTAAGGCTTAAGCTGCCCTCTTAATTAGATTTTGGATTGCGCAGCGATTGGCAGAAAGCTCCCAACTCAAGAAGAGCTTCCGCTGACAAATCGCTGAATTGGAGGCGCTGCATGCCTTGATGAGAGATCGGCAGAGGTTCTCGATGCTTGACGGCACACATGCTTGTAGAAAGCAAGCTGTACCACGTGCACTATCGACTGACACTGACGTGTTTTTGACACTGAGCCAACGATTGGCCCGAGGAAATCGAGGCGGATTGCGCAAAGCTGAAAAGCCAGCTTGCCATGGCCTGCTGCCCAGCCACCAGCCATGCTGTTGCTGACATTGATGCCCTGCACGGTCATTTCATTATCTTATCCAGTGCCGTGGAAAGGTCAAAATCAGACTCGACGGTGTCGCATCCTGGACGCACAGAGCCCTGTTCCTGATTTTTGTTGTGCTGCCTGACCTTTCTGGGTGCCTGTTGTGCTCTTAACAGAAGCCCCATTTGATTAACGCCACGACCAAGCTGCCCATGCAAAGTGTGGTTATGCTAGTGTGTTTGTACGGAGAGCGGCACAGAGCGGCGGCGAAACAGGTCCAATCTTTGCGTGATGGAGACATGCAGGTCAGTCGGGTGATCCTTGGAAGCACCTGGTAGAAGACCCAACATGATCAACAAGCACAACTCAAGCGGTAAATCTAAAGTGCAACTGAGATGTATGGTCGTGTAACTTGCTGGAAGCGAGCCGGCAAGTGAAACAAGTGGAAGCAGGTAGACAGGTAGAAGTGCCGTGGCTCTGCCATGCACTCTCAGCCAGTGGAGCAAACTTGAGAGATTGCAATGTTACCAAATGCACGCATTGATACGGGCGGCTCAAACAAGGAGAACGTTTCTGAATTGATCCTCGAAGGCAGGCGGGGGTTGGTTGTCAAGTGCTTCGTGTATGCCCAAGACAGAAACACAGGTGCCTGCCGCATTGCTGTGTATGTCAGTCGGGCAGCAAGTGCAAAAACCTTGATTTCGCGGGCACCCTGAGGCGTGGATTTCGTTTCACCTGGAGGTGAAGGCTGTGAGTGAAGAGAGACCTGAAGCCTCACTGCATCACCGGGGATTGCAAAAAGAAGCCCTTGTTTGACAGGCCAGCTTTAGTCGCTCTTCTGAGAAGGTGGCAGGAGCTGTTCTTCACTGTCTCTACCCCGGCTGATGATACTAAAACAGCGAAGAAACCCTCAAGGACATTGCCCAGCTGGGATAGAGGAGGTACCTTTTGAAAAACCCAAGGAAATTTGAGTGCAAGTGTTCCTATACAGATGAACCAGAACAAACCAGACGCTCTTTGATTTAAGGGTGTCAATTCTTGCGAAGCGCATTCGCCTGTCTGGCTCGACGAGGTGTTACCATCATACGGCTGAAAACCAGGACTTTGTCACTTTGGACGGTATATTGGGGTTATATAGGGATAATGGAAAAGAAAATGGAAACTACTATAATGGAGAATCAAATGGAAAAGAAAATGGAAAATGAAATGCAAACTAGGGAATATATTGGGGTTATATAATGGAGCATCATTTGCCTCCTTGTAGAAAGAAGCGTGAAAACACAGCGTCGCCAGCTCGTCTAGAATGCAGCACGGTTGTGCAGCCCTTTTCATGGATGGTTTGCAATGTCATACCAATTGCGCAACTCTTAGTTGTACTTTGGGCTGCTAAGAGCCCTTTTCCATTGCTGCATCTAGGCAGATTTCTGGCAGGATTTTTCGACCTGACATGTTGCCTTCTCCACCAGGAACCTCCAAGCATCTCCACGCATCCTACCATGTCCTACCAGAATTGGCATTGGCAGGGAAAAGGTAGCGGCGAGCCAAGCTCCAAGAGCTTGGCAGTACAAGTCTTACAGCTTGCATAGGGTTTGTGCACAAATTAGATGATCACTTTGCAGGGCACCGCCAAGGTCTCATTCACAGCGTCTACTGCCCACAGCTCTATATTGAGGCGTCAAACGGCGTGCACTGTGACATAGCTTTATGTTGTCCTGCGAAGCAGGATGCCAACACAAAGAGCTGTCATCAGAAATCCGTGGGAGTGCAAGCAATATAACCCCAATATATTCCCTA